CAGTCCTGCCTCCCAGCCTTACTGTTGCAATTCTTTTGTTTTTAAGTTCTTATCCATATGCAATCTCCTCTTGCCTATATAGCATAACAGAGAAGCACAGCTATAAGCAAGTCATAAAAAGGATGCAGCAGGGGAAAAGAATGAATGATTCAGAACTCCAAAATATCTTCTAAGCTGGCAAGTAAACTAGGGAGGAAAGGATTCCCTTGTCCCTTTGGTGTAACATGGATTATTTCCACATTGCAATAGACTTCCCTCAAGTTCTGATTTAATATGGAGAATTTATAGAAATAATAATAATAATAATAATAATAATAATAATAATAATAATATGATTATTTCTACCCCGCCCATCCAGCTGGGTCTCCCCAGCCACTCTGGGTGGTTTCCAACAGAAGGTTAAAAATACATTAAAACATCAGTTATTAAAAACTTCCCTAAACAGGGCTGCCTTCAGATGTCTTCTAAATGGCAGATAGTTGTTTATTTCTTTGACATCTGGTGGGAGGGCGTTCCACAGGGAGGGTGCCACTACTGAGAAGGCCCTCTGCCTGGTTTCCTGTAACTTCGCTTCACGCAGTGAGGGAACCGCCAGAAGGCCCTCGGAGCTGGACCTCAGTGTCTGGGCAGAACGATGGGGGTGGAGATGCTCCTTCAGGTATACTGGGCCGAGGCCATTTAGGGCTTTAAAGGTCAGCACCAACACTTTGAATTGCACTCAGAAATGTACTGGGAGCCAATGGAGGTCTTTCAAGACCAGTGTTACGTGGTCTCGGCGGCCGCTCCCAGTCACCAGTCTAGCTGTCACATTCTGGATTAGTTGTAGTTTCTGGGTCACCTTCAAAGGTAGCCCCACGTAGAGTGCATTGCAGTAGTCCAAGTACTTACTTGCACGTTGCAAGTAATCCAATATTGGAATGCCTAATTTGCTGCAGATGGTACTTCCTTTGCATTATCCCTCTCCACATTCTGAAAGTGCATGTGTGCATTGCTAAATTATTGCAAACAAATAAAACAACAAAATACAGTCTAACCGCAGGCTCGATTACATCAAGATTCTTTTTGTACATTGTTGTCACCAATGAGCAAAATTTGCTGCTGCACCTTGAGAAAACGATGTACACAAAGGCACTTGATCCAACCCCATTAAACTGACCCTATTTCTGTGTGGGGTTTGATACATGTCCACCCTTAAAGGAAGGGTGGGAAAGCTGAGTGAACTAAATGATGTGTAAAAATTGCACATACAACAACACAATATATAATTTGAAATCAATAGAAGAGCAGTGATTAATTCTCATTTTGCTGGAACCTCTTGCAAAACAAGGTGAGTTTACTGGGGACTCAGAAACCCAGAGGAAAAACCCGAGAAGGGATTGTTTCTCAGAGTTGCATGTGGAAGGACCTGGGTTCAGTCCCCAACATCTCCAGGTTGGGCTAGGATAACCATTGTCGGAAACTCTGGAGAGGTGCTGCCAATCAGTGTAGACAACATTGAGCTCGATGGACAGTGGTCAGACTTGATGTAAGGCAGTTTCTTATGTTAAAAAGAACATAGCTCAGTGGCATTACAATGTCCTCATGGAATGAATCTCAGTAGTAGCATCTCAGCATCTTCAGGAGGAGCTGGGAAGGCTGTTGTTATGGAAATACTGGAGAACCATTGCCAATCAGTGTAGTTCAGCCTTCACCAACCTGGTGCCTTACAGATGGACCTCAACTCCCATCAACTCAGTTGGGCACAATCATTCCAGCTGGGGCAAATGTGAGTTGAAATCCATAACACCTGGAAAGGATTAGGTTGCAGCAGATTGCTTTGGACCGATGGTCCCATTTAGTATAAAGCAGCATCTTATGACCCTTCCTAAATTTTGGGTATGGAAAGTTGTGGGGGCATCCCTCATGTCAAGACATTGCATGCACCAATATTGAATGTGTTTTGACCCAAATGAATGTGTGTGTGTGTGTGTGTGTGTGTGTGTGTTCAGTTCCATATACATGATTGAAAGTGGAATGAGTTGGCTTGTTAACCCTAAATCATAACATACTGGGAGACTACCTTAGCAGAACACGCACAATGAAAACCTTGCATTCTGAAAGCTTTCTAAGTATGTTTCTGGCAAAAGTGATTGATCTATGTTGACTTGTTTGCTATTTAGATGCAACACGTCCTCCTTGGTTTTAATATTATGTGGAGGAGCTTGCCATCACCCAAAACGGTACAATCACTTCTGTGAGAAACAGTTTTGACTATACAAAATACAGATGCAGATGATGCTTTCTGGAACGAGATATGAGCTTTGCATGCTTAGAATCCTCACCTCAAAGAAAATAAGGTTCCATAATTCTTAATTGAAATCTGAGCCAGAGAATAACCCAACCAGCCACTCCAATCTCAATCCACTTCCATTTAAACAAAACTTAGCAGCCAATGCAATGGTGGTCCTCTAACCACACAAAGAGAGGGTTCTGCAGTCCTCATCCTCTTTCATTGGTAGCAGGACAGGAATATAGGCTGTGATGGCCTTTTGTTACAGTTTCCCATTTGGGGACAGCGGGGGAGTTTATTTTCTGCACCATCTGAACCTGAGACAGGCAAGAGATGATAGGAGTATCATTAAGTCTTCAAGTCTATTGGGAAGTTAGGGAACCTCTGGACTTGGGAGCTGCTGGTTTACAAGATATTTCTTCTACTTTTTGCATTAAGCACTACATAGCTAAAGGGTCAGATATTAAGAGATTACTCTAATGGTTTTTAATTAAAACTCATTGTCAATTTAGTTGGTTTCAGATTTGCATCATGCTAACCTAAGGGCAAGTTGCAACATCTTGCAGTACTGCTTAAGATGATCGCCCCATCCTGAAGACTAATGGCCAATTAAATTAGGGTTGTTCACTTAGAAGGGAAACTCATTGTTTTCAGCAGGGCTTGCTTTTGAGTAATGACGCTTTGTTCAGGCTTTGAGCAGCCAACTCCCTTGATTTTCTTTCCAAAGTGTTCCATCCCTGCTTCCCACACAAATTTCCCTGTGATCATAACTACCACCTGAAAAGGTCTTCTTCATCAATCCTTTTCCAAAACAAATGACTAAATAATGAAACCTGGACAAATCCACTCCCATGGCACTAATTCAGAAGATATTTCATCTGACCCCAGTTCAAGAACCACTAAACGCAGGGACTTTGTCTAAGGAACTTCTTTTCTGGATTATCAGACCAAAAGTCTGTCAGATCCCTAAGGACATAAGAAAAGCCTGCTGGAGCAGGCCAGTGGCCCATCTAGTCCATCACCCTGTCCACACAGTGGACAACCAGACACCAGTGGGACCCACAAGTGAGTTTTGAACACATCACCACTCTCCCCTCCTGTGGTTTCCAGCAACTGATATTCAGATGCATTATTGCCTCTGACCATGAAGGAAGAGCAAACACATCATGATTAGTAGCCATTGGTAACCTTATCCTCTATTATTTCTTCCCATCCACTTTTAAAGCCTTCTAAGTTGGTGGCCATCATGGCGTCCCGCAGGAGCGACCTCCATACTTTTAACTATTTGCTGTGTGAAGAAGCATTTTCTACTAACGCTTAGCTTCATTGGACAGTCATGAGTTTTACTGTTATGAGAAAGGGACAGAAAGCTCTGTCTATCCACTTTCTCCATGCCATGTATAATTTCATAAATTTCTATCATGGTCACCTCTTAGTCACCTTTTCTCTGATCTAAGAAGACTCAAATGCTACAACCTGTCCTCAAAGGACAAACCTGTCCTTCATCCCCTGGATCATTTTGGTTGCACTTTCAAGAAGCTTTTCCAGCTCTACAAATATCCCTTTTGATATGTACACTATCCTTCCTGAGCTGAGGTAGCCAGAACTGGAAATAGTATTCCAAATGTGGCCACAGCATAGATTTGTATAACCTTCTGGATTATCAGGCCAAAGCTCCACCAGACCCAATGTCCTGTTTCCCACAGTCGGCCAATCAGAAGCCCCCAAGAAGGGCATGGGCATTATAATCTTCACAGGCTGCTGTCTGCCAATGACAGTTGCACTGTTAGATACTGCCATGAAGCATTAAGGTCTAAAGCAATGTTCATCAGTCCACTGATGTTGTTGGGCAACTCCCATCATTCTTGACCATTCACTAAACTAGTTGGAGATGATGTGAGCTGTGGCCCAAGAACCTCTGGGGACTGAAGGTTAAAGAACCCTGTTCCAAAGTGACTTCATGACCAACATGTTAGACTGCTCCTAATTTCCTTAATATGTGACCTGAGTAAACTATGCCAGCTGGGCAATTGGCAGGTAATTGCTTCTACAATAGAATGTATTCTAGTTGCTGGGTATCATAAATGGGCAGAGTGCTGTTGCAGTGGTTGTGGGCCACTGTGAAAACAGGAGGTTGGTTTAAATGGGCCTTTGGCTTGATCCAGCAGTCAGGTTCTTTTTTTTTTTTATCGGTAACAATGAGGGGCTCTTGCATTCATGCCCTGCTCATTGGCATCCTGGAGGAATTTAATTGGCCACTGTGAGAACAGGATGTTGGGCTAGATGGTCTTTAGGGTTCTTCTGATGTTCTTACAAATGTCACCTTCCAGCAGCCCATGCAGCCAGCAGAGTCAGGGCTTATGGGAGTTGCAATCTAGAACCATTTAATTAAGGGAGGAGAAGGATATCAATGGCTTCTAGCCACAATGACTGTGTTTACTCTCCACTGCCAAAGGCACAATGTCACTGAATACCAGTTTATGGGAACTACAAGTGGGGAGAGTGGCTACTTGTGGGCTTTCTGTAGGCATCCGGTTGGCCAATGTGAAAAGAGGACTCAATGGGTCATTGGACTGATCCAGCTGTGGGACGCTTCTGTTCATGGACACTTTTGTGAGCTGCAGCAGAGGGCATGACTTTATCAACCTCTCTGTTAATCTGTAGGGATTTGGAACGAGTTTGTTGAATTAAATGTTGCATACTACATTGATCTCTCATTGTGCTCTTTCAGAAACAGCTCTCACCCTGCAAAGATGTCCGTCGGAGACGGTGGAAACATGTGCTATGCCAGCTGTCCTGCATCCACAGTGACTATACAGCCACCACCCTTCGTCCTAAATATCCCAGGACCAGCGCTCTACTGCCCTGACCAAAACTTTGGCATTGAGCAATACAACCCATGCGCAGGCTATGGCGGTGGATATGGAGGCAGCGGAGGAATGGGGGGCCGTGCTATTGGTAGCGGAAGCGGCATGGGCATAGGTGGTGGTATGGGTGGAGGAGGAGGTTATGGAGGCCTTGGTGGTGCAGGTGGTTATGGGGGTGGAAGTATGGGAGGCCGTGGGCTTGGTGGTTTAGGTGCAGGTGGCAGTCTGGGCGGTGGAGGAGGTTATGGGGGCATTGGTGGTGGTTATGGGGGTGGAAGTATGGGGGGCCGTGGTGGGGGTGGTTTAGGTGGAGGTAGCTTGGGTGGTTTAGGTGGGGGTAGCATGGGTGGTAGTGGTGGCATTGGTGGATCTGGTGGACGTCGAGGCAGCATAGGTGGTGGCACCGGGGGTGGACGTCGAGGCAGCATAGGTGGTGGCAGCGGGGGCGGACGTAGAGACAGCATAGGTGGTGGCAGCGGGGGCGGACGTAGAGGCAGCATAGGTGGTGGCAGTGTGAGCGGACGTAGAGGCAGCATAGGTGGTGGCAGCATGGGTGGCGGTCTTGGTGGATCTGGAGGTAGTGTTGGTGGTGGCACTGGTGGAATTGGAGGCAGTCTGGGTGGTGGAGGAGGAGGACGCCGAATCAGCGGGGGACGCCGATACAGTGGCAGTGGTGGCTACAGCAGTGGCGGATATGGTGGCAGTGGTGGCTACAGCAGTGGCGGATATGGTGGAAGTGGTGGCTACAGCAGTGGCGGATATGGTGGAAGTGGTGGATACAGCAGTGGCGGATATGGTGGAAGTGGTGGATACGGAAGTGGCGGATATGGTGGAAGTGGGGGATATGGCAGTGGCGGATATGGTGGAAGTGGCGGATATGGTGGAAGTGGCGGATATGGTGGCAGTGGTGGATATGGTGGAAGTTGCGGATATGGCATGGGCGGATATGGCAGTGGTGGATACGGTAGCGGTGGATATGGTGGCAGAAGTTATGGCACCAGAAGGATTATATACTCTGGAGGCCGCAGAAGCGGATATGGTGGAGGCGGCTACAGCAGCAGGTCTTATGGCGGCTCCTATGGTGGAAGTTTGGCGCTGCTGCCTAGTACCGCATGCTACACCTGCTACTGAACCCAGAGGAAACAACCCAGAGCTCACGGGACAACCGCAGAAACACAAGATGATGAACCCAAAGCTTGAACTTGCAGGAGTGGACTTGGGGAAACCCTTCGCCTTCTGTCGCCTGCTAATGCAAGCTCCTTGAGCTGAATGATCAGCGAATCCACACTTGAACTCTGTGTGCATTTTTGGTTTCCACAATTGCACACAAGAAGAAATAACTCGCAGTAATATCCTTTCCAGGCTATGTTGCTTTCTACATACTTCACGACTATGACTTGAAGCGGGTGGAGGAGAGCATATAAGCCCACCCCTTTTCTCCGCTCTGACGATGAACAACCCACAACTGTGCACTTGCATGTCCTGTCTGAAGAGATTCTTGAATGCCTTGAACTGTAACCACTGAAGCATTGTGAAACCTCTGTTTCCACAACCAATGAAGCAATAGCGCAGATTGAAAAATCAATTGCATTCTAATTTATCACCCTTTTCCCTGCCGAAAAAAAATGCTGCTGTTTCTTCATTTCCTATGTCATTAAAGCTTTTTTTTTGCATCATAAAATTTTCCCTCCTGTCTAGTTTGTATTCCCCTCATACTTCAAAATAGGCAGGTTGGGCTGACACACGAATAAGGAACTAAATGATTCAAGGGCACCCAAATGAGGGTTCCACTTGAGAGTGATTTTGCACCCAGTTCAATTCAAGCTGGTCTGTAAAAAACAATTCCAGCCATTACCACATGGGGGCCTATTCACAAGGTATGCTGGAACCTTCCAGGTAAACTGAGTCACTGGATCTTTCTGCATTTTATTCCCCTTTAGAGGAGGAAGTTAGTGGGTTAAAGATCATTAGCTGAACAAAAAAAAAAATCTTGATTTAAAATGAATTGCATGAGTTTATTTCAGAGAACCACAGAGTTCCACAAATCCCCTCCAAACACCCATGGCAATCTGAGCAAACAACAGTTAGCTAGGGCACACTGAATGCAAGAGTGGAAGGTATCCAACCTCCTTCCTTATGAAGGAAATCCAGACCTTAAAAGATGGCAGTCCACCTTCTGCTTGGAGACCTAGAGTGAAGAACCCATCCACCCTCAGAAGGTCATGGATCACATACCTGTTGTAGACCAGACTGAGCTGGATGGACCAGCAGACTTTGCCCCCAGAACGTTCTTGAGATGTTTGTTCCATTCTCTTTTAAGGAAAAGGGGACTAAGTTAAAAAGTTGCAGGAATTTATTTATTTTTGCATGCAGAGGGTCCCAAGGTTCCAAGACGGAGCAGCAAAATTACACAAAATTACAAGTGCATTTTCGATTGTACAATTGACACAGATGTACAGTGGCACCTCAGAAGTCGAACAGAATCCATTCTGGAAGTCCATTCGACTTCAAAAATGTTCGGAAACCAAGGTGCAGCTTCTAATACGTTGCAGGAAACTCCTGCAGCCAATCGGAAGCCCCGGAAGCCCCTTTGGATGTTTGGGTTCCAAAGGACGTTTGCAAACCGGAACACTCACTTCTGGGTTTGCGGCATTCGGGAGCCAAAACATTTGACTTGCAAGGCATTTGAGATCCAAAGTACGACTGTGCAGTAAATCTTCATCATAGTTCTTTTAGTGCATTGGCGCCTAGGGGGAGGACTATGATTCAGTGCTAGGGCATCTGATTTGCATACAGAAGTTACTGGATGGCATTTCCAGGTAGGGCTGGGAAAGTCCCCTCCCTGCATTCCCTGAGAGCTGCTGCCAGTCACTGACAACTGAACTGGCCAGACCCATGTTCTGATTTCATATAAGACAGATTCCTATATACCTGCATAAAGGTAAAGGTAAAAGGACCCCTGACCGCTAGGTCCAGTCGTGACCGACTCTGGGGTTGCAGTGGTCATCTCACTTTATTGGCCAAGGGAGCCGGCGTACAGCTTCCAGGTCATGTGCCAGCATGACTAAGCCACTTCTGGCGAACCAGAACACCTCACAGAAATGCTGTTTACCTACCTGCCAGAGCGGTACCTATTTATCTACTTGCACTTTGATGTGCTTTCGAACTTCTAGGTTGGCAGGAGCAGGGACCGAGCAATGAGAGCTCACCCCATCACGGGTATTCGAACCGCCGACCTTCCGATCAGCAAGCCCTAGGCTCAGTGGTTTAGACCACAGCTCCACCCATGTCCCTTATATACCTGCATAGGAACCGTTTATAGTTCTCCACCTGTACATCAGATTGGAGAAGACTGATTTGTTGTTATGGCAGTAAAGAATCACAGGTGCTTAAAAAAAAGTTTTTGCCTGGTGCCTAAAGATATACAGTGGTACCTCCGGTTACAGATGCTTCAGGTTACAAACTCCGCTAACCCAGAAATAGTACCTCAGGTTAAGAACTTTGCTTCAGGATGAGAACAGAAATTGTGCGGTGGCAGCGGGAGGCCCCATTAGCTGAAGTGGTACCTCAGCTTAAGAATAGTTTCAGGTTAAGAATGGACCTCCAGAACAAATTAAGTTCTTAACCCGAGGTTCCACTGTATAATGATGGCACCAGGCGAGTCTCCCTGGAGAGAGCATTCTGCAAATGGGGATGTATCTATGTATTCTCATCTATTTTTTAATGAATCTATATGCTGCTGTTCACAAGTTTAGTATCCTCCCACACCAGCTCACAACACATGAGGCAAAACAGAAAATGGCACCCGCCATTGTTGCTGCCACCACCTCCACCGGAGGTGACTGGAGGTGACCAAGGGAAGTCTTGGAGCACTGAAGCTGGGGGGAGAGAAGGAAGGCAAGTGGGTGTGACTTGGAGAGCCTCCCAGAAGCCAACTAGAGAGCCTTGAAGGGCCACATTCAGCTCCTGGGCCCGAGGCTCCCCATCCCTGCCCTAGGAATTTTCAAACAAAAATGGATCAAGGGAAGCAGGGTTTGAGGTGTTCTTCTTCTGACACAAAGAACGTCGATTCATATCTGGGTCTGGAGAGCACTGCTGTGCTCGGTTTCTGCTTGCAGGCTTTCTAGAAGAGAGATCTGGTTGGCCACTCTGAGAACAGAAGGCTGGACTAGACAGGCCTTTGGCCTGATCCTGCAGCTAGGCTCTTTTTACTGGACCTCCAGGTCCAGAGGCGGTCTGTCTAGGTTCCTAGACACTTTGGGGCATTTGGTCACGGAGAACAGGAAGTTGATCTAAGTGGGCCTTTGGCTTGACCCAACAGACAGGCTCTTCTTATGATCTCAACTTATTTCTATACCCTCAACAGCCATGCTTTCTGCTGCTGCATCTACACGCTGCAACCACATGGTGGCACTCTTAAGAAGCAATATTAACCACTTTCAACATGCTCTGGGATGCCAATGATGACCTTTGTCTTAGCTATGAGGAGCTTGGGATCACTTCAACAAATATTAGTCTCCACCGGTGACTCAGTTCACTGCCCTCCCTTGCCCCAGCCCTAGAAGCAGGCACACCTCACAAGGACAAATAAGGCGTCAAGAGATGCAATATGATTAATATATTTTGAAACAAACGGACAAAAATGTTTTGAAACTGAAAGTCGGCTTTTTACACATCGTTCCATTTATGTGTGGAAATCAAAGAGGACAGACCATGCGTCTGTTGTGGGGGTGTCATTGACCAACGGCAGGCAAGCAAAAGGATGGGTGTTCGCTGAGGGACAGGACCAACTGATCTAGCAGGCTTCACTTGGGTCTGCTCCTCAAGTATATAGAGGTCCTCCTCCTTCTGTCGTGTGCAGTTCCTCATTGGATGTCCCACTGACCCTCCCCTTTTAGCCTAATGTTATATTTCATGAATGAGCTTGTGGTGGACAAAGTTGGTCGTTGTATTCTGAGCCAGGCAGGAATTTTCCCTCAGACTAATTGGCCCTGTCTGGGAGCTTTGCCTACCTCATAGCAATTCATAGAATCATAGAGTTGGAATAGACCACAAGGGCCATCGAGTCCAACCCCCTGCCAAGCAGGAAACACCATCAGAGCACTCCTGACATATGGTTGTCAAGCCTCTGCTTAAAGACCTCCAAAGAAGGAGACTCCACCACACTCCTTGGCAGCAAATTCCACTGTCAAACAGCTCTTACTGTCAGGAAGTTCTTCCTAATGTTTAGGCGGAATCTTCTTTCTTGTAGTTTGGATCCATTGCTCCGTGTCCACTTCTCTGGAGCAGCAGAAAACAACCTTTCTCCCTCCTCTATGTGACATCCTTTTATATATTTGAACATGGCTATCATATCACCCCTTAACCTCCTCTTCTCCAGGCTAAACATGCCCAGCTCCCTTAGCCGTTCCTCATAAGGCATTGTTTCCAGGCCTTTGACCATTTTGGTTGCCCTCCTCTGGACACGTTCCAGTTTGTCAGTGTCCTTCTTGAACTGTGGTGCCCAGAACTGGACACAGTACTCCAGGTGAGGTCTGACCAGAGCAGAATACAGTGGCACTATTACTTTTCTTGATCTAGATGCTATACTCCTATTGTCACAACTTGGCCAGTTTAGGCATTAAACTGTTTAGGCATTAGGTTGGCCTTAGTCTTGGTGGAGGGGAGGTTGTAAGCCTCTGCCTGCCCCTCCAAGGACAGGTGTATCCTTCTAAAGGGATCCAGAAGGAATCCCTGGTTGTCTAGACAACCAGGTGGGGGCTATGGCCATAGCACTCCTCAAGACAGTGATCAAGCCTATTTTAAGTAAGTCAAATGTCCTCCACAACCCTGGTCTAAACCTTACTTCCAGCAGGTGGGCTGGTTGTTAATGGTTGTTATACCCAATGCCTATGCCAAACCTCTCACATGGTGTGAGAGCTAGTGCGGTGTAGTGGTTAAGAGCGGTAGTCTCGTAATCTGGGGAACCAGGTTCATGTCTCCGTTCCTCCACATGCAGCTGCTGGGTGACCTTGGGCCAGTCACACTTCTCTGAAGTCTCTCAGCCCCACTCACCTCACAGAGTGTTTGTTGTGGGGGAGGAAGGGAAAGGAGAATGTGAGCTGCTTTGAGACTCCTTTGGGTAGTGATAA